AATGAGCAAGAAAACGTTATCAAGCAAAGGCAGCAGGAGGCCTGCATGAATGAAGAAGAGCTCCTGACAAAACTCAAGCATAAAAAGGGAGCATACAAGAGCTGGAAGCAGGGCAGGTGACCCAGGAGGAATTTAGAGATACAGTCCAGGTGTGCAGGGCTGGGGTTAGGAAAGCCAAAGCCTACCATCTGAAGTTGAATATGACAAGGAATGTGAAGGGCAACAAGAAAATCTTCTACCTGTTTATCAGCAGCAAAAGGAAAACTAGGGGAAATGTGGGCCTGCTGCTGACTGGGGCAGGGGACCTGGTAACAAGGGATACAGAAAAAGCTGAGATATGTAATCCCTTCTTCACTGCAGTCTTCACTGTTAAGACCAGCCTTCAGGAATCACAGGCCCCTCATATAAGAGGGAAAATCTGGAGCAATACAAATTTAGCCTTGGTGGGGGAGGATTGGGTTAGAGAACATATAAACAAACTGGTCTATGGAGCCTTGCGGGATGCACCCACAAGTGCTGAAGGACCAGACAGATGTCATTGTGAAGCCACCCTCAATTATCTTTGAAATGTCCTGGCCATTGGGAGACATTTCTGAGGCCTGGAAGAAAGCAAATGCTACTTCTATCTTCTAGAAGGGCAAGAAAGAGTATCTGGAGAACAACAGGCCAGTCAGGCTCACCTCAATCCCTGGAAAGCTGGTGGAGCAACTAGCCCTTGAAATCATTTCCAGACACATGAAGGACAAGAAGGTGATTAGGTGTAGTCCACATAGATTTACAAAGAGGAGACCGTGTCTGACCAACCTGCTAGCCTTCTACAATGAGATGACTTGTTCCGTGGATGAGGAGAACAGTGCCTGTTGTTTATCTTGACTTTAGCAAGGCTTTTGACACTGTTTCCCATAATATCCTCATAGTCCAGCTGATGAAGTGCAGGCATGAAGTGGAGAGTGAGGTGGATCGAAAAGTGGCTGAATTGCTGGGCTGAAAGGATTGTGATCAGCGGCATGAAGTGCAGCTGGAGGCCAGTCACTAGTGGTATCCCACAAGGGGCAGATACTGCATCCAATACTGTTTAACATTTCCATGTCTATAGTTATGAATCACACCAGCCAGGAGGCAGACCCTAACTTTGCAGAGAGCAATGCTGAAAGGAGGTCATCAGTCTCTTCTCCCAAGTAGCAAGTGATAGGACAAGAGGAAAGAGCCTCAAGCTGCGCCAGGGGAGGTTTAGATTGGATATTAGGAAAAATTTCTTCACCAAAAGGGTTGTCAAGCGCTGGAACAGGTTGCCCAGGGAAGTGGTTGAGTCACCATCCCTGAGCTATTTAAAAGACGTGGAGATGTGGCACTTAGGGACATGGTTTAGTAGTGGACTTGGCAGTGTTAGGTTTAGGGTTGGATTCGATGATCTTAAAGGTCTTTTCCAACCTAAATAATTCTGTGATTTAGGCCACTCTGCCAAGGTGTGGGTGGTGACAGGCACTGTGACATGGCATAATGCCAAAGCAAAGGACAGAGGCAGCTAGTTCCTTGTTTTCTGCTAGTGGACAGTGCTTTGAAAATGGAAGTTCAAGGAACCACAGTTTGGAACTCATCAGAAAGGTCTGCAAAAACTGTAGCTGGTGCAGAAAAGACTCCAGTGAGGATGTGGTAGCTCTAATTCAGACCTCAGTCAGACAGACAAAGGTGAATTGAAGCTGTTACAGAAATCATGAGGGTGGCTTAACTCCTCTGGGAGCGCTGTACACAAAGAGCTCTGAGTTTCCATGGAACAGCCTGCTGCATCTTGGACTTCTAGGACTGACAGTCCCTCACCTTGGCTTCACGTCCAAGTGGGCTGTGGGGAAAACATTCATAAATAAGAACAGAGGTCTCTGTCCATCCAGGATTTCAAGGTCTTCGACACTTGGACAAACACAAGAAACACTGAGTGTCATGTTAAAGTCGTGAGGCTGAAAGATCAAAAACCTCATATGAAAAAAGAGCTGAAGATGCTGTGGTGGCCCTCGAGGCCAATCGTTGGTCCCTGAGAGGCTGACAAGGCTAATGAGAGGTGGGGTCAGCACCAACTCTGAGAAAGCAGCAGCACAGCAACCTGTGGCTCACAGCAGAGACCAGAGCAGAGCCAGCCTGGCTGCACTTTCCCCAGGGACAGTTTCTCAGGGAAACTACACTGAATTACTCAGTGAGGCAAATAAGTGACCAGATCCCACTAACGCCTTCAGGTGGAACTTGTCGGGAGTTGCAAAATCCAGTAGCCTGAGAGGTGAGGCTGTCACAGCTCTGTTTCCCCTGCTCCAGACAGTAATGAGGTTGAGCATTTATTTCCAGTAAGCAAACACACATATACAACATACACTCACAGGCAGACTTGGCCAGTCACACAGACATAGTAGACAGCATACAAATAGACAGCACAGAAACACTCAGCACTCATGCAAACACAAAGAGCACCAGAGGCCTCAGCCCATTATCAACTCTTTGGCTGATCAGGATGAAGGTCCATTGGTGTGTAGCTACACAGTGGGGATCCCTCAGTAACTGGCCTTAGACACTCAGTCTACCCAGTAGCTGTCCCTTGGATCCCATTGTCTTCAGGTGCCTCATGCACAGACACACACATGCAAGTGGATCTTTCAGTCAACCCCAAGACCTTACCAGGAGTTGGCATAGACCTCCTGGTCCCTCCAGTAGTCAAACCACAGACCCTCAAGTCTCCCCAGTAGCTGGTCCAAACTTATGACTGCCTTGATTCCAGACTGCCAAGCGGCGTACCCTACTCACTAGCTGATCCGTCTTGATATTAGCTAGGGATCACGCTCTGATGTGACATACATACCCACACAACACGTATCTATTGTGGTCTCTCCAGTTGGTAGCACCCCAGACACACAGGTGCCTATAGTTCTTGGTCCCCGCTCCAGTTGTTGGCTCTGAGACTCTCATTCTCTCACTCCCATTGTTTGTACCAAAGATGCATGGACACCTATGAACCATGGTTAGACCACAGCCCCTAGCACATTGACTCTCATCTGCTTCCTTCTCTCCAGTTACTGGCGCCACACATAGATGGACCCCTATGACCCCTGGTCCCACTTGTCATTGGCACTTAGACCAAGACAGAGAGAGTCCTGTCACCCAGGAAAACAGTCAGAAATGAAGTTAGATAAGAAGACAGGATGGACTGCAGTTATCAGGCACAGGATGTGGCCAGACAAGTGTACTGACCAGCAACCTGTTTACATGGGACTGGTCCTTCTTCCCAAAACGACCTTGATCCTTCCCTTCCCCCACCTTTTGTTCTTCACCTCAACATGCCATAAAAAGTCTCACACAATCCCAAAATGCTCTTCCTAGCATCCCATAATGTGTCGTATACCCCTGTAGGCAGTAAAGCCCCTCAGTCTGCCAGGTGGTGTGGGGAGCCTCTCCCATAGAGTCACCTAGATGGGTTTCACACCCAGTCCATGGGCTGATTATTGTCCTGTGACAGCCTTAGGAGGAACCAGGCGAGCGTACTCTGTTTCTCTGATTAGGTTACTGCAGTTCCTCTACCTGCCATCATACCTCTGTGCTCCTCTGTTGTTTGGGGAGAAGATCCTCTAATCATATAACCAAACCGAATCCTCAGATTGGTGGATTCAAAGCTCTATAATTTTAGGCACAGTTACTAAAAGCACAGTGCATTTGGGAACAGGAAGCTACCAGTCAGAAAGGCATTTTCCTTATACTTGCTAGACATCTTTAACAGGAGCTGGCAGCTAGTGCAAGAGTTAGGATGTTGGTAAGCAAGCCGATAAGTGAGAAAGCTGACACCTGTTGATGCCTGTGAACTACAGGATCTCAAGTGCACAGTGGCTAGTGTGATAATCATCACCACTCAGGAGCAGATACCACTGGTGTCTGTTATCCTCAGGTGAATCAAGCAAAGGACAGACTCAGGGACAAACCCTGGGACAAGTGACTACAACACTGCTTTGCAGGAGTGAGCTTGGCCCTCATAAAACTCCTTAAAGAGAGGAGGAAATTCCTTGTCCAACAGCGGGTCTCCGGGGGAGGCATATTAACTCTAGGGCTAGATGTACGACATAGGGGAAAAGAGGTAAATTGTGCTGTTCTGCTCACAGCTAGAGCATTGGGCTCAGCCAGAGTCAGAAGGGAATGGGAGGAGTCTGAGGCAAAGTAAGAAAATGGTGGAAAGAAGTCTGTTAAGTAGGACCTGTGAGGAAAGATGAAGCTTGGGACTGGGAAAAAGTAGTTGGAAGAGGGGAGGAGGGAAGCATCTTAGCCACAAAAAGACTGTGAAGAACACAGTGGTCCTGTTCCCACCAGAGTACACTGGAGGATATTAACTCAAGTGGCAGCAGAGAAAGATTTTGTTCTACGTGAGGTACACCACTGTCCTGTGAAGCTGGAAAGGACCGGAGCACCAGGAAGGGGAAGAGAGGCCATTTCCAGCACTGCACTTCTCCAGTTCCCTGATACCACCACAAGTCTCCACTGACCACCACTTTCTGACAGCTGTCTGTGACACTGCTTTGTGTTGGTTTGTGTTATTGACAGTATCCTGTGGAATTAAGTCAAATCCCTACAAGTGTCAATACTACACCAGTGGAAATACCCCCGTCAACCAGTGGGGGTGGCTAGTTTCAAAAAAAAGACTCCTGAATCTTCCCACCTGTCAGATTATGTGGTTGAACAACATCAGGCAGTTATGAACCCGAGGAACCTCATCACTGAAAATGTTTCAGGGGTCGGGGTGTCCAAGCCAGCTCCCAGACAGACACAGGGGTCTGGGAGGCAGCTACTGGGAAGACCGGAAGTCTTGACCAGCCACCGGAAAGACCTTTTTTTTGTTGTGTCTGGCGTGAGACAGAGTATGGGGAAGACCAGGGGATTTAAGGGCCAGCTATGTGTAGAGTGAATGACTAAGCCTCGCTACTGGAGGGGTCCATATTACATATGTGTAAACATGTATTTTTTCTACTGGCAGGCTTTCATCCTGCAGGCAGCCAGAGAGGGGAACAGGATCAGACTGCCCATGCTGTTTGTGTTTACATCAGTGCTTTCTGTCTGTGTTGACCTGTGTGGCTGCTTATATGTACATATTCTTTTTCTTCTGTGTGTATCTGTATATGTACATACTGTACATACACGCTCAGTCTCACTACCGTCTGGAGCTGGGGACATGGAGCTGCAGCAGCCTGCAGCCACTACCCACTCCCATTCACAGAACTGCTCCCATCGATTGGCTTAGGAAGGCAAATCTCCTGGTCACCTTGTCTCTAGTACAAATCCTCCCCTCTCTTTGGGACACGGAGAGAGGATTCTCCTCATACTTGGTCAACCATGTGCAGGTCAGACTCCTGGCACAAGCTCCTGTTACCCTCCCGGGCGAGACTTTCAGCAATGGAGACAAATAGTCATAATATCCCTAGAGCTGGTTTCCTGTGCCCAGTCCCCTCCAGAGCTTTGGCTGTGTGCAATGGGACTGCAGCCAGGTTGTCTCTGGGGGGTTTACTCTCACTGGGTGGCTGCAACTTCTGCTGCAGTAGTTGCCTAAGGCTCTATCCTGGCACAGGAACATGTTTTGATCCTGCTTATACAAACCACCTGCAGCTTAGAGAGGGAGAAAGACACACACACAGAGCACACAGCCTTTTTCATTGGCCTAATACTGTATTTTCTCTTGTATAGGAAACCAATATTTATTCAGCAAAACCAATGCAAGAGGAGGACATTCTCTATGTCCCCAAGAAAAAGCAGACACCTCTGCTCAGGGAGACAGAGGAAATCACAGCTCTGAACATCTGTCTTCCATTCCTGTGTCTTCTTCCTGGAGAACTCAACCTCTTTTCAGCCAGTGGCTGCCAGACCCACTCAGGGAGAAGAGGACACAAAAGAAAAAAATTACTTGGTTCCCCTGTCCGCCAGAACCTGAGATAGAGACAGACTGTTACTCCCAGCGTACCCCATGGAGCACTGCTGGAGAAGGCCACAGCAGGACGCAAGGCTTGGAGGGGAGAGAGAAAAATTCCAGATGCTGATTCACGGACGGAAGCAGGACCCTTCCTCCCACTTTGCTATCCCACTGGCACCAGTCTTACATGGAAAGCTGCCTTCTTCCTACAGCCAGCACAACAGGGACCTGCTCAGTCCTGGTGGGGGGAGCTGCTCACCACCACTCACCCCACGCACTTCACACCCAGCAGAGGCACGTGTCTGCCTCCAGGGCAAGTTTGTCCTCCAGAAGGAGGCGCAGCAAGGACAGCCCTGGTGACCTCTCCCTGTGCCCCATCTCTCCCACAGCATCACAGCACTGGCCTGTGCATATACGTGCACATATGCATGGTGGGGGCAGTATGGAGGCCAGGCAAGGCTGGTCATCTCTGAAGGGTTCTTCCTGCTGGCGAGATGCAGCTGCTTCTGTGCCTGCAGCACTGATGGCCACGTCACAGGTAGTTAACTAACAACCACTAACCAGCATGGATGGGGACGTGTCAACCTGGTGTCCTACCCAGCCCTCTCTCCTGCTCCATCATTGTCCTCTCACGGGGATTTGTCTCACCTCCCTCTCATGCACCAACAGACACCCTCACATCTCTCCTACGCTCTTGCACTGCCAGGAGCCGCGCTAAACACTCTCCATCCGGGGGTACTCACGCTGCCATCTCATTAAACGGAGTCTGGTCCACCCACTGCCAGTGGCCCACCACCTGTGCACGCAGACCAATGTAGTAATTCGTTCCTATTCGAGATTGTCGTAGCTCGTTAGTGAGGAAAACCTGGAAATCAGGGCGAGTGAGTGCAATGTCCATGAGGTGCAGGACTAAGCAGAGGGAGGAGGCAGGAGTCCCTGTGGGGTGGGGCTGGTGGCAGAGGGAAGCCGGTGCTGAAGGGGTGCAGAAAGGACATCCCCCCCTCCCCTGCAGGAGCAAGGAGGGGCTCTGAGTGCCCTCCAGGGCCTGGCACTGTGTCTCTGGCTGCTGTGCCCCTCTCTCAGCCCTGCACGTACCTGCTCTGCTTTGCTGTTGATCACCACCAGGTGGGAGCCCATCCCAGTGCAGTTCTGCACACTCTCAGCCCAGGGCATCTTGTCGTCTGACACGTAATAGCAGCTCTTTTGAAAGCGTTTCCAGCCATTTGGGCAGCACGTCCAGTCTTGCCCTGCGTGGGGAGACACCACAGAGATGAACGCTAATAACGAGAGAGGGAGTGACTGCAAGGATCCCAGTTCTGCAGGGACAAAGCTCCCGTTCTCCTTAGATCACTTTTCCTGACAGAAAGGGCTTGAATAAACAAGGACAGTACAGATATTGCTTCCAACTGCTTTGGAGAATGACCAGTGAGCTTTGTGCACACAAATCCATGGTAATCCTTGTAACGTGACCTCAGGCCTTGACTTGACAAAGACAAAGTTAGTTTGGTGATCTGGTTTGACTTCTCCTTGTACAGTCTCCTTTAGGCCTTCAGCCCCAGGGAACAGGGAACAGTGCTTCTTTCCCCGACTACAGCTGCACTTTCGTTAGTGCTCCATGGTTAACCTTCCCTGTGCGGCTGTATGCTGTCCCTTTTGTTTTGTCAGTGTTCACAGCCACCCTGCCCTCCAGGACATCATTAACATGGCCCTCTCCTCCCCTTAAGCTCTTAGCAGGAAATCCTTTTTCTCCCCACCTCCCTCCTCTGGAGTCCGCCTCTCCAGACTCTGCTCCCACTGCTCCTTGCTGTCAGAGCAGACCCCAGCATTCACTGTCCGATTCAGCCCAAAGACCTCCTGCACCCCTGCCAGCACTACTGACCTTTGCCTCGCGGCACTGCCGAGACGCACCGCCACTCCGTGAATCTCTGCCGCAGGGCTGTGGGCTGGTCACCACTATGGGAGCAGGGAGCGACTGGAAAGGGAGAGGAAAGGCGGCAGGATTACTCCTTCCTCCCGGCTCCTCACACACCATCTCTGGGCTTCACTTCCCCACCAAGCACTGTCTCAGCATCGCCTCTCCTCGCGCCGTCTCCTTCCATTTCACAAGGGGCACCTGCCATCCTCTCGGCGAAGGGAACCGGCATTTCTGCTCCCGGCATCCCACAGCTGCCCAAAAGGACTCCTCTGCCCACTGACTGACAAGATCTAGCCAGGATGACCTGGCCAGCAAAGCTAGAGAAGCCTGCGACCCACCCGAGCAGTGCCTGGTGGCTGTAGCCAGCCTGTGGTTTGTCAGCAGAGTCTGTCCCAGCACCGAGCAGCTGACATCAGGCCCCCTCAGGTGCTGTGGAGCTGAAGGTGTGCTGCTAGTGGATCCCTGGTCCAAGGCTCTGAGAAAACTGGCCCAAACTGGCTGCCTTCCCAGGCAGAAAGAGACAACCTTTCAGGTCAGAGGGCAGGAGGACCACTGGAAGGACATCACACTGAGGACATGCCAGACAGGGTGGGATTGATTCCACCCCACCACAGGCATTTACCATGTAGATACCTACAGCCAAGCTGCCTGTCTACATCTCTTTCCAATCGGCGAATAAAAAGCAGCACTTCAGTGGCACAGCTTATCTCTTCCTAAGACAGACATCAGCAGTAGTTTGGATGAGTAACACATCAGACGGGTCTAGTTCGTCAGCAACAAAGACAGCCCAGGTGAAGGTAACCACATACAGCCTGAGCTGCTGAAACCAGGGTGGAAGGTAAACTCCTAGGACTTACTAGCCAGTTTACGGGGAATAACACAGTGCTGGTGACAAGTGTCAGCAGGCCACATCCACAACCCGAAGGACTTACCGCTAACTCAAACACTCAGGGATATTGATTGGAAGCTCATCAGGGTGTGCGAAGTAATACAGATGTCTATTTTTATCAACCGTTTCATTCAGAAGTATTGTTACTAGTGAGGAGGGCAGAGTAATCGTAGTGGCCTCTGTGACGGATTTCCTACAAAGAAGTGAGTTCCTACAATGGAAGAAGGCTCAGAGGAGATGGGCAAGGGCCACGCGCGGCTGCCCACACCTGTTGCAAAGAAAGGGGACCTTATCTCAACACAAAGGGGACCAGACGGTGGCCTTTGTTCTAGTTCCGTTGAGTGAATCAACCAGTTGTATCAGGTGAGTGAATTGACCAGCTGTGTGACTGGTCATCCCTCTAAAGGTCAAAAAGAGGGCAATGTCTTCCTAAGTCAGGCAGAACAGCATGGGGTGAGTGTATACGTGGCTCAGCCCAAAATAGTGTAAAAAACTGAATGACTAACAAAGATGTGTCTGAAGAAAGCAATGGCTCTGAGCTGGCTTTAACCCACATATTCCTTCTGGGTCCTTGGGGACACCCAGTGTCTTGATGTTGAGCATATTGCAGAGGCTGGTAATGAGAATCACATTTGTATTGTGATTCAACTGCGCATTGCAATTGCTACCCTCTGCTAAGTGCAATTTGTACTTGTGTTTTTATTTAAATGCATTGCTGTATCACTGTGCTAAATCAAATTCCTATGTAACATCAATTACCTTGGATAAGTAAATTTGCCATTAAAGATTAAACTTTCCATGTGTGGAATATCTAAAAGAACCTGGCCAGACAGTATTAGACTCTTAACAGCCTACCCTAAACCTCCCCAAGCATTTAACAGAGTATCATGAAAAGTTACACATTTGGGAACAAAGCAATACAAACTTCTGCGACTTGGGAACTAATGACAGCAAAAGGAAGGGCAGCAATTTAGCCTGATAATATGCCTTCTTCCAGAATTCATCATCTTTGATGACAATTTGTGCAAACATGCCATGAATGATCTTTAGCAGAAAATGAGAATGAAACAATGATCATAACCTCCACAAACTGCATGTGCAAGAATCACTTTTAATGAATTATTCTAGTAGAATGCAGTTAACACTAAAAAGGTGTGAGAGTTTGCACTGCGCAGTTAATCCTGGAGATGCCAGGACTAACTGTGAAAAGCTGTTTTTTCCATTAGGACACAGAGTGTGTCAAAGCACCTTAGAGCGCTCAAGTGCAGGTCCAGCTGCCTGTATAGACACTTGTGCTCCCATCTCCAGGCTTTTTCCCCTCTGCTGAATGTAATTAAGTTCTTTTTGTGTGGTATGCAAGTAGAGAATTGTTCCACAGATCCAAAGAGGCCATGCAAGATGGGGATGTACAATCTGGAAACACTGAAAAGGCCTCAGGGTAAACAGTAGAAGATTAGGGGGATGTATGCAGACATGTACAAAGTCAGGGCAGAAAAGCCTGAGACCTTACAGAAAAGCCCAAGCAACCCTGAAATTCTGAAGATGGCCATGCTTCAAGTAGGGCATTAGACTAAAGACATCCAGAAGTCCCTTCCCACCTAACTCTTTCCATCATTCTAAGAAAGAGAATGTGTACAACAGAACCAGCCGGCATAACGCTGTGGTAGTCCTAGCTTCCGCATACCAGTTGGGTAAAACATCTAGTTTGGCTGGCCTGCAAAAGAGAAGTTTGTGTCATGTCGCAACTGTACCCTTAAATCCCCAATGTTTAAGTAATCAGAAAAGATTTTGCTCCTAAACATACCGATATTCAACATTCAGGTTTTCTGACCCCAAATGTTGGCGCTTGCATCCTTTCTCATGACAAAACAGTTCCTGAGTAAAAGCTCCGTCCTGATTGGAAGATGTTCCTCTCTGGGCTCTGATTTCTCTGCTTTTCTCCCAGCACTTCCCCCTGACCTCTCTCCTGTAACCAGCCTGCACATACTCACCAAGGAGAGCAATAATGATGGCAATGCACACCAAGAGGAGCAGCAGTGAGATCAGCCACGGGAGCCAAGGCGGGTATTTCTGGGGATGATGCTCATGCTTCTTCGTCTCAGGAGGTACTAAAAGTGAAGGAACACACCAAACACAACACCACAGTCAACTATGCTTCAGTCAGCCTGCATACCAAGGATGTAAAACTCAAGCGAGAGCTGCTCAAAAAAAATGCGGTTTCATTTCTGATGTGGAAGTTACACAGTTTGGGAGAGGGGCAGATTGGGACAGAGCAGGGGACCTCTGTGGTTTCTGAAGAAGGTCAGGTTCAGCGACACTGTTCACAGCCCCAGCCCTGTTGGTGAGCTAGCAATGCTAATTGCTGGTGTTTGGGCGTGAGGCCTTCACATGGCCTCAAAATCTGGAGTGAAACGATGCCTTTCTAGATTGAGCCGAGAGCTGCCAAATTCAACATTGCTCTATCTGATATCTGAGACATTCACATGAAGATTTCATGTTGCCTTCTCCCCACAAAACTTTTTATGCCTGCTTCAGTTCCTTCTTAGCTTTTTGGACTTTCAGTGTAGAAGAAAGATGGTGCAAGCTGAATGAGGACAGGAGACAAAAAATGTTTAGAGCGATCATGGCACAGAATCACTGGAAGAGAAAAAAAAGTTTTTTTCCCTTCCATCTCTGCTTTCCAAGCCAGGATTCAGAGATTTGCTGTAGTAAAACTAGGCTGTGCTAGGCTGGATGCCTGGGGAGAACAGAGGGCTGTGTCCAGCAGCCTGAGTAAAGTGTCCCACTCAGATTCAGACTTGCCAGGGCCTGACTTTTGTCTAGAGGGATACTGCCAGTACTGAGGAGCAGTCAGAAGAATGGGTCACAGGGAAGGAGAAGCAAACACTTGTTAGGAGACAGGCTGTGGCAGGTACACAAGCCAGGGCAAACAGGACGATAAAGAGACAGCAGCACTCACTGCAGGACAGGAGTAAAGAAGTTTTGAGAGAGACTGATATTAATGATAAGCTTTAGAGAGACCTCATTCATTGTTCAGCATGAAACTCCCAAGTCTGCCAGCAGCCACGTGTGCCTGCCAGTCATGCCTAGTAAGCAAGACTTCCAGGAACCTGTTGTTTGGGGAAGCCCTCTGACTACTTCCCAAAAGCCTGGGGGAGGCTGTTACAGCAGGGCAAAAAGCATCATCTTTCATTATTAGAAGATAAAACATTCATAGACAGACAAGATCCAGGTTTCCCTGGCCAAATCATGTGTTTCTAGCCAAAGCTTTTGTCTCTAGTGAAAACAAGGACTTGGATCATGATCTGGAGTCCAACCACCTATTTCAGACAATAGATCTGACCAGTCCAAATGATTTTTTGATGTGCTGCATGTCCACAGATTGACTGTTCAACCTGTGCCCAGCCAGATCTGTGCATCCCACATTCACACCCAGGTGGCACAGAGAGCACTGTCAGTATGCATGTACCTCACCAACACAACTGAAGTGCAGTAGATTTTGTGCATACTCAACGGGTTAATCTCCCTGCAAAATGCTTCCTACAGTTTGTCTGCATGCTTGCAACATGTCCAGCATGATCACAACACAACAGACCTGATGAGCATGTGATGGTTATTCAGCACATAAATCCAACATTTCCTAGGCACATGCAACAAGTGCTGTGCAGCACAGATGCCTAGGTTTCTACCTGGGAAATCCTGGTTGGCAATGCAGGAACCCTAACTGCACTGTGGTGTGAAACCCACCCCGGTAGTCTCTGCCACCTCCTGCCACAGATTATGTGTTGTTTGATTAGCTGCTGCCTTCTCCTCTCTATCTTCCAATAACTGCCGATTTTGTTATCTCTAGAGCCCAACTAGAAGAGGCTACAGAAAGGGAAAACCCAGGTTGGCCATTACCAACATGGAGTCTGCATGGCCAGAGTAACCACTTAGAAGGACAACAGAGCAGCAAGACTCCCTCAATCTTTCAATAATTTTCAATCAAAACTCTCGTCCTATGAGCATACCATGAGGCTGTGAGAGACGTTAGCACTGTGTGCAATGGTACTACTGGACACTGCTCTGAATTCAAAGTATAAGCTAAGCGTGTGATCACTTAGACAGGTGCACTCAAAGAGAGACCCTGAGCGCACACCCAAACCTATAACATGAGCCTGCCATCAGCAGCTCAAGCAAACATGGCTGGATTGGGTGTCTTTGGAATAGGTCATCGGGAACACAACGGGGAACTTCCACCACCCCCACCTCACCATGATAGAAATGCTAGCTGTAACCAGAACCAGCTAATCTTAGTGCACCAAAAACAGTGAGCTTTAAAGTCAGTCAGGAGTATGCACATTCTTTATTTCCATGACTCATGCCTCAGAGCAGGCAAGGAATAACCTGGAGCTGATGCCTGCTCTGTTTGGGATTGTAAAACTGAGGTAAAGTGGTAAATAGGCAAGTTAATATCCTTAGCAGCAATAATAATTTATTTATTTATTCATTCATTCATTTACGCACACGTACTTTCACCCCTCTGGAACCTGCTGTTGTGTAGGATCCTGTATCAAAGGGTGGAAGCAAGGAGCCATATATGGAACATCTCCATGTGTTCCTACTTGTGGCATAGTAACTACAGAATACATACTGATCAGAACATGTCTTAAATTTGCACAAAGCCTAGTAAAGGCACCATTTTACAACCGTGATTTTTAATAGCAATAAAAAGTTGTTCGTTTGGTGTGTTAATTATTTTTCAGGAGTGGTAGACATCAATCACAGAATTGGATCTTCCTGCAGATCTTAGATAGTTCTTCCTCTGTGTATTTTATGGTATTTTGTTCAAGCCCATTCTTCCTTTTAACATTTGGGACTCTCTTCTCCAAGGACTATTTCTCAATCAACAAAGGACAATGGGGCTATAAGTTTCTGCAGCCAGTGCCACCTCTCACGAAGCTGCAGAGGGCAACTGATTGCTGTACTGCAAGGAGGCATGTTGGTTCTCTACTCCTGCTCTCTCCATAAGCAGGAATCTGTAGCCTCAGTCTCTCAGAGGCAAGAGCAGTAGCAGCCAGGGCTTAGGCTTATTTACTGCCATTTGCTGCCCTGGGAGCCCCTCCACCTTTGTGACAGATCAGATTGTTTGTAATAAACCATAGTCTCTATTGTTGGTACTCAGTATATGTCAAAAAATGACTCTCATCCAAGACTAGATAACATACAGAGAGGCAGCTGCTGCCTGCCTTGTACCAGGGCTAAGCATTCATCCTGGACCCTCTACCATTCACCACTGTTGGTGTTGCAACCAGGGGACTAAGGGACCCCAAATACGTTCCTTACTGAATGTTCACTTGAAACCTACTGTTTGTGCCCCCAGTAGTCATGTTTGCTCATGTTGCAATTCCAACCACCTAAAGATTCCCACCTCTCCTCTTGTAGACATTCCTTGACCCTCTTCAGAACTCCTCCAGTCTCCTGCTCATGTAGTGGTAGACAACTGCTTTTTCTCACCAATTTGTCAAGACCAGGTAGGAACCAGAGTCACAGAGAGAAAAGTCTCAATTCCCTGTTCTTCAGTCCTCCTCCCTCCAGGTCCCCTTCCCCTGAATAACCCACCCATTCCTTACCTTCAACCACTGCAGCTGGTGATGCGTTCTTGAACTTCACCTCAGCGTAGGTGATTTCTGATGCCATTTAATCACAGGGTGACCACTGATCCCTGTCCTTAGTTTTGCTATGTAAAAGGTGGGCCTTTTTGGTCCCTGGTTCCAGAGGGAGACACCAATAAGTTACTGAGCCTTTCCCATCTGCTCGTTCACCCTCTGCCAAAGAAGGCTGTGCTGAACACTGGAAGCACTGGTGATAACCTGAGAATTCCTGGGAGCTCAGAAATGCTCTGAACAGATCTTCAGTTTCTTAGCCTAGGAAATCAGCTCCAGCACTATGGAAACTTCTGAGAGAGAAAAGAAAAATGAGAACCTAACAACTGAAAAGGAAGTTGCACTCCTCCTTCCGCATATCAGATTCACAGCTGGTAGGCTTCCTTTTTAAGATCTCTTGTTTTTTTCTTTTTTCACACTTTTTTTACTCTCTCTCCTTCCCTTATCTTCATGCCTTTCTTTCTCTGTTAGTAATTCTGCCATTGCTCTTAGGTTTGCAGCTATCATGGGTCTTAGCCCAGTTCAACCTGCAGCACAGCCCAATACAAAATGCATTCTGCCCTCACTTGTCTCTTATGGTTAAACTGCATTTGCTATATCAAATATTGCATGCTATGTCTCATCCTGGGAAGTCAGCCCCAGTTGGCAGCTAGCACTAGAACAAATCTCAAACAAGGAACTGTTCCTGTAGAAGTGAGACTGGGGAGTTGCAGCCTTAGGCAAAGGAATAGAAATAATCAGAAGTTTGATATATCTGAGGAGAAACAGAGAAGGATGAGGCCAGGGTTGGGGAGGAGAACAAGTAAAGTGGAATAAAAAAAAAATGGTGTTGATGGTTTGAGAGGTTATTGGGAAGAGCACACACAGAGACCTCTCTATCACAACCTGGTTTATAGCCTGTGAAAGTTCAGAGCAGTGCTTGCTTCAAGGAGTCAGGCTCCATTTCTGAGGCTGAAAAGGGCTGGTTTATATTTTTTGCTCCAACACTGTCATTTATCTCCCTTTCCTGCTTTCTGGTAAAGGCCTCTGTTATTACCTTGGGAAAAATGTCAGACTACTGTTTAGTCTGATTTCAAGCTGGGGCAGATGTTGAAAGGAGACAATTAAGGGAAATGGCTGCTGAGATACGTGCTGAGTCAGAAAGACTTCTGAGAAGAAATGCCAATGAGTCAGGATACCCTGGAGAAAAAGGGTGAGAAGGGTTCAGTCAGCAGATAGGACTCAGGAATCACAGCACGGTTTGGGTTGGAAGGGACCATAAAGATCATCTAGTCCAACCCCCCTGCCGTGGGCAGGGACATCTTTCACTAGATCAGGTTGCTCAAAGCCCCGTCCAATCCGGCCTCGAACACTTCCAGTGATGGGGCATCCATAACTTCTCTGGGCAACCTGCTCCTGCGTCTCACCGCCCTTGTCATAAAGAATTTCTTCCTTATATCTAATCTAGAACTAGCTTCTTTCAATTTAAAACCTTTGCCCCTTGTCCTGTCACTACAGGTGCTGGTAAAAAGTCTCTCTCCATCTTTCTTATAAGCCCCCTCTAAATATTGAAAAGCCATAATAGGGTCCCCAAAACAACCAGAAGGAAGGAGGAGGAAGCTTTGCTTGGTTAGTTTGGCTAGCTGGAATTTCCTCAAGGCAGACCAGAATGACACACTAGCAGGACATCCAGGGAGCTAGTACAGAGGGTACACACAGCAGAGTTGGAGGCGAGATGGGACAGCGCAAGGAAGAACACACATTGGACAACAGAGGAGAACAGCGTGGCAGAAGGTAAAGGGCAAAGGAGGGATGTGGTGGACATTTGAAGACAGATTATGGAGAACTGCCCCTAAACAGAATGGGGCATATGTAGCTGGATTTCTTTATCAAGGAGCCTCCTTATGTCTTGTGTGCACTGAGCTGGTTTCACTTCTCCTTTTTGTATTGTGTGCAAAGAGGGTGACTTTTATACAAGAAGAAGAGCAGCTGCAGGACAGAAGCCTGGTCCCTTGAGAAGATGCATGCTGCCTGCTTTTCTTTCCAACATCCTTCCAGCACTCTTCTTTGTCTTCAGGCGCAGCCCTTTCACTGGAATTAGGACTCCCTAAGTGTTTGCTGAAACCTAGTTATGCCCTCAAATTTCATGCTGAGATTTCAGTCAGAGTAACCCTCTGCATGCTTCCCCCTGCCCGCAGCCAATGAAGCCACAACAGACTCACAGTCTCATGGGGAAAAGTCTTACTGCCCGGTAGGGTTTCAAACTTTCCACCATGAAGAAATGGGAAATACAATCAGCAGACAGAGAAGGAAATCACAGTGTAGCTTCATGCGCTTTTTGCCATTGAAACACAATCTCCAAACACAGCTGAGGCATTTCAAATGCAAATCCAGGATCCAGCTGCTGATTTTGTTAGAGCACACTAGATTGCACTCAAACATCAGGAGACAGCTCAATTCTTCCTTCTCAGCCAGAGTTGTTGCTTGCTGTCAAAATTCAGCCTTGAAACATACTTCCATACGATACAATGCTGGACTCTTGTGCAACAAGTGAGGTGATATTCCCGAGGGTAAAATTTGTGCTTTGAATTTCATATGCACTTGATGGCATGTAAATGGGTGGAAGACAGGGAGAATCGAGTCCAGCAGTTAGTTGTGGGGCTGAAAATAGAAAAAATAAAACCTTCCTTATAAAAACCCCAAAACTCGCACTTTGTTTCCTTGCATTCCCACTGCTGTTCTTCGGTTCATCCCTTCCCCCTCCACCTGTGTTCTGCCCACCCCATGCAGTACACACTCATCCTCCCACAATACCTGTGTTTCCCCACAGACATCTTTCATCTCAACCCCACTCAGCACGGCCAGGTACCTCCCATGCTCCTAATGCCCATGTACCTCGCAAGCCCCAGCTCCTTCCTAGGACTCATATGTTTGCTCACCACAACAGTCCTGGTTTCCCTCCTTACTCATGCTCCAGCTGCTGCCTTTAGCTGCGCGAGCACCATTTGGCTAGCTGACCCAAACAGAAGGCAGTAGAGGCATGCTCTTTCTCCCCTACCTGTCAATGAAGCTTGAGTAAGGTAGTATCTGCAAGCCTTTCATCTCACAGCCAGTTTCACCCAATTTAGCAAGCAGGTCCATGTAACACTAGAGGAGACAGCACCATTGCATGTGCCTTACTTCTGATGAAAATCAAGCTGAACCAGTTGAGTTAAAACTGAATTCATAAGCAAAGAGAAGGACTTGAATCCTATAGTTGTGACCCTACACATTCAAAAAAATATCCCCTTTTGAAGTTGAACACAGCTGAGGTGGAAGCTGCAGGGAAGTGAGACACTTGTTACAAGCCAGTCAGAATGAGCGGGGCAGCTGAGGGAATTCAGTCATCACAGGTGGCATGGAGGTTACACAGGGACATCACATTGGCAGCCCAAAGCCAATACCTAGCACCTCTTTAGAAGATTTGACAAAAGGCAAAAGGAAGCTGACGTGGCTAAAATATTGAGCCAAAGGGATTATCAGATTCTCCAACAAGCTGACCTTGCATTCAAATGAGGAAAATTGAAATGATCATGACCTCAGTTAAATGTAAAACCACAACAAAGCGAAGGTGAAAAAAGAGCCTGAAAAACAACTAGCAGAAGCCATCAGAACTACTAATAAATAATTTCCTATAGATACTGAAAGCAGAAACCTTTTCACAAGCTTTGAGGACAACTGAAGAGCAGGGTATAGAAGAAGCAGTCAGAGAGAACAAGGACATTGAAACAAAGCTAAATTAACTATTTGTGACAGCGGAATAAACTGGAGAAATTCTCTCAGAAGAACCCTGTTTTGTGGGGACCTGTCCAAAATAAAAGTGATTGGGCAAAAGGTATGGAATTAGCAGATCTGGACAAGATAGTCCCAGGGGTTCCCAAGAGACTCGGGGGTGAAACAGTTGCTAATAGCAGTGGGTGGCCTGTTGCTTTAAACTGCCTTTTAATCACCGAATCACAGGATGGCAAGGAATATAGCAAAGAGAGGGGAGGGGAGAAGTCTAGGGAGATTTAGGAAGCTAAAGGTTTGACATCTGTAGTGGCCAAGTTAATAGAAATTACAACAAAAGAATAAAATTAATGGACAAGTGTATAAGTATGATGTACTTTGGGAAGAGTCAATATAACTCTTGTAAGGAAATCCTGCCTCTTGTAGTTCTTAGGAGGGGTCAATAATCATATGCGAGAGTCAATATGAGAATAATCCAGCTACCTGTGAAGTTCCTCAGCAAACACTTCTAAGGAAAGTGGGCAGCCATGGGATAAGAAGGCAGATCTTTTCATGGTAAGCAGACAGGAGAGGTGGGTAGGAATTAATGGTCAGTTCCCTCAGTGGACAGAAAGCACCTACAGAACTCTACCATGTCTGTAACAGGACCCTAGCTGCCCGCTAATAGAACAGTCCTGCCATCACCTGCTCTTATGGCACCCCTAGCTAGCGCAGTCCTCCAGGTCACTCAGATAAAGACAGCCTAAACCCAATCCTGGCTTTTTGTCCCTGCACCTGGGCAAGGAGAGCATCAGAAATGAATGCACGCCACCCTCTTGGTCTTCCCTCTCCACATCACCTTGCTCCTCTCCTAGGGATTAAGACAGAATTGGCCGTAGAGGTAATAAAGAGAGAGCAGAGCCCTTGCAGCCAAGGGAAGAGCACAAAAAGACACTGAAGCATGGGGAATGGGGCCTCAAGGCCTGGTACTGAGTGGTTAGTAAGGGATGGCAGATATCTTATCAAAGGGATTCAGGCAGCAACAGCTCCTTGAGAGCTCTTGAGGGATTTGGTGGGTTAGAGGGGATCTAGCAATAAGTGATCACACTGTGTACCCTGCTGCAAGGAACTGGCTAGGGAAGAGAGGGGCAGGATGCTGCAGTTCTCACTGCAGGAGCTGAGCTCCCCCAGCTCTAGGGGACAGTGTGAGAGCACTGCAGCCTGCTGGGACCTGAGAGAAAAGCATCCTACGCCCTTCTCACGCATGGCTGACAACACTGGCCAGAGCTGCAGGGAGAAGAAACCTCTTCTGGAAGGCAGTCACCCCTGCTGATGACAGAAGGTGAACCAGGGTGCCATACAGA